GTTATTTGAGAAGACAGAGTATTCAATCTCGCGAATAGGAACAAGTTGACGATCCGATGCAAAACGACCGTATGAGAAAAAATATAGAGAAAATCTGCAGTTTACGGGATGGAAGCTCGGAAGGTCAGGATTGCCACAGGGTCCTCGTGTCAAGTTGGTTCGTATTTTGTTTAAACTATTTTTATGGAGCCAAAGGAGAAACACAGCCGTGATTTTCGCGCTTGCAACAAGGCAGGAGACGGGCAATAGTGGGCAAAGGCCGAAGACAACTCTTGAATACGGAAGTGGCGACCATCCCGTTGTACGGAGTGCTCCGTGGCCGTTTTCCTGCGTACAATTTCCGATTGAGAAAGAAAGAGAAAATTTTACTTCTTCGTAATAACCGGGCCTTTGACGTGAGAGTTTCCAATCGTTATGTGATGACACGGGTCTCTCGAAGCGCGTCGCGCAGATCCGACCGCTGGCAAGACCGCGACACAAAATCCAGCAGTCGTTGCCGTCGCAATACGTACGACAGGTTTGCAAAGCAGGAGCTAGACGGAGCTCTTTCAAGACACATTCTGTCGTCATAGAAAGACGGGACAAGTGTCACCAAAGCCAAAGATATACCGAAATAGGACCAAGGAGTATGTTGTAATTACACAATTTGAATATAGCCTTATTTGATACTGAAACCGGTCCTGCGGTGGCCCATATTGAAGCGGCTCCCTCCGCGTGTGTTTCTACCCTGTTCATATTTGGGACTGGAACATGCACATGCATTTTCTCGCATCTATGCCTTTGCATCATACATCATGTTCGCAGCGTCCACACTGTCCATAACGGGGATGACCCCCGCGACACAAGGCCGGCCAGCCCCGTCAGGGGCCACTGATGCCCACTCTCCAGTGGCGGCCGGAGGGGCACATCATGAACTTAAGATACCTATAGCGCAATACATGCAAGTCCTATTCCGTATGTCGCAGAAAGAATACATGGAGCAAGGACGGAGCATAGAGCTTGGCAGCCCGCGATAGGGGGACGGGCCCAGAGAAAGGTGGCAGTTGATGGGTCGTGCTGGGTAGCATGTCACTGGTTCAAGCTTTGCTGTCTTGGTATATATGGCTGTATATTGGGCACTTGCAAACCTACGATTGGCCCAAGACCTGTTTCTCCCACAAACCACATAGTGCTATATATTGCTGCCCGTGCTTCTGTAACGTCACCATTGTGGCGAGGAATCCTTGCATATCAGGTTTGTACAGGACCGTTGTCACAGTCATACAGAGATATTTGTCGTTTAAGGCGTTGGTTTTTGAACCGTTCTTGATGTTCTTAAGAAAACGTCGATTGTAAACCAATGCTTTCAAGTACGGCCTACGTCTATTGGCGAGGCTTGTGTGTGGTCAAGGCATACGATCATAGCCGTAATAACTGAAAATTACAGGCAAGCTGAAGGCATGCTGCAAGGCGTAAGCAATACGACGCAGACTGAGAACGATACCAGCATTTAGACTCTGAGGGCTCATCGGCCGGCACGGCATTGCGACCCAGATTCCAGGGGAGAACCCTCTGGCTGTAATAAAACGGGGAAGACCGGAGCAAAACACTAGACAAGAAACAACCTACCTGCGGCCGCGAAATCAACATCCTGCTGCATGCTCGTACTTCGTACGATGCAATTTTCTTTACGGGGCGTTGGTCCATTGGCCAGACTGATCCGCAGACACGAGGCAAACGTACGTGGCTGTGTCGCAATCTCGCACTCCTGTAATGAATGCGTCAACAACACGAGGCAGAGGAGCAAGATGAGGTAAACGGCACCTATGAGAGCCATCGAGAGACCAAGAAAGCTTGAGGTGACGGGAGAGTTGACCGAGGTCTGGTCGACGTTTTGTGGACCGTCACTCCCAGTAGCATCGAACTTGACAGCACTGATGTCATTTCTCATTTTGCTGTCGTCTTGGGGAAAAGGGGCACAACATTTGTTGATTTCGTTTCGCCCTGCAGTCCAAATATTAAACGAGGTTTCCGTGCGCCATGCCAAGATACATACAGTACGGATTCATATATATACTGTTTGAACGGCTTTTGACTACGGCTGGAGTGGGGCACTAGTGACGAAGCAGTGGCTCTGGTTGGCCGACAAAAATAATAACCGACTATCCTTTTTCGGTTGCCGGGGCACTTCTTCGTAAAGCAGGGTAGCAGCAGCACGACCTTGTACCGGAAGGTGTTTTATGCCCGAGGAAAATGCCCATAAATACATTTAGGAATACGGAGCACCCTCTAGTGCGCAGACATTCAAAAAGCAGGAACCAGCCCGATACACACTAGTCTAGATCGAGGTCACAGTGTGAACTCGAGTCAGGAAGGCACGGTTCGAGCTTGTTTGTGCGAGGAAGGCTCGACTTGGGATCTGCAGGCCACCATTGCAGCGTTCCTTAGGCTCAGGGGAAAGAATAACGGTAAACAGTAGCACGGGTGACGCCCCTACACAGAGACGCAAATACACATAAATACACACAACAAACAATGAAAGCTAGCAAAGGAACAAAAGGCTTGAAGAGCCAAAATCGCACAACAATACGGAGCGCCAGGGGCGCGCTAGTGCTGGACGCTGCTGCATTACGAGATTGTTGTCCGGCAAGGAAAGCGCCCGACAAAGGGGGCACCTTCCGTCTTCTCAAATAGGTGGGCCACTTTAACAGCAACACATTCCAGCGGCCCCAGGCGGTATTTTTTTTAGGTGGCTCATTATAGACCCACCCACTTCTTTTGTTGTAGAGGGCCCCAAATCAGCTTGGAAGGAAGGGACAAGATCCTCAAGAGCAGAGCGCAAAGCATATTGCTCATGCCCATCGTTCTTACCTGGGTCGTTTTGCCCCGGTCGTGCTTGCCTCTGCTGGCCAGTCCAGACCGCACGCCATACTCAGTAGCTATCCTCGTATGCATCTTGCCTTCCGTATCCCATTGACTCGTTTTCTGCTCCTTTTTTGCTTCCTCGTAGTTTGTGTCTTCCACGCTGTATCGACCACTCATCTTGGCACACGCTGTGTCGGCCACAGTGCATCGCTCGTTCGACCCCCAGCTTCACGTTGTGTCTAGTGTTTTCATCTCGTTTCCGGCTCCCCACCACTCGCTACTGTCGTTTTGAGCATTGTTTTTTCAAATTTCGTTGTCTTCTATTTTTTATCGGACAGGGTTTTCCTTCCATCTGAACCTGATCGATCCCTCGAGTCTCGCCCTCTGAGTCGCCCGCTTGCTCGAGCACCTCACACACCGTCGCCTCTACTCCATACGCCTCACATTCAATCTCTTACCGTGCCTCGCCGCGGATCCTCTGGGTTGTCCGCTTCAGAACAGGTGTTGACCTTCCCAGAAAACATTCAAAACACCCGACGTCTGTTCTTTAGCAGCCCCGTATCCCCTTATCGAAATTTGCTGCTTGTTGTTGGCATGACCGACTTACTTTCATCCTTCCACGACCAAGCATCTCTCTTTCATCGCTTTTAGCCCCAGCCCGTCCGCAACGTAAGCCCACAAGGAACACAAACAGCCGGCCCTGACCCTGTTTCTTGTTTGCTTGGTGGCAGTTCTCGAAACGGCCGTGCTCAGAGACATCACAGTTGCAGCGATATCAAAACACCTAGGAGAAAGAAAGGAACAAGGAAGACCAGACTAGACGACGACCAGGACACAAACACAATCCGGTGCTCTCGACCTGCTCAAAAAAGCCGTTCTGATCGCCAGGCTGTGGTGCTCGATAAACCAGGCAGCTGACCATTCGCTGTTCACGTCCGGGTTGCATTTTCCCAACTCACATTCGCTCACCCACAGCCTGCTTCCTTCTCTCCTTGAACCACCACTTCACGCGAGGTGGTGCTTTAGCTGGTGTGTTTTTTTGAAAGCCCTGCTGGTCGCCGGCGCGACGGCACTGCAATAGCGAGACTTTTCGACTGTCGACCTGCTTCCCCGCCCCTTCTCGACGATACAACAATACTTTGGATTACCGTGTTCTCTGGCAAACTCTTGCGCCCGCGCATCGACAGCTTCGAAAACCAGAACTCAAAATTCGAAATCTTGAGAAAAAAGACGGGCTACAGACACGCCGCTTCATCGTTTTGCGCTGAATTCTATCGTCCTTCGCTCAAGTAAATTTCATACTCGCGCTGCTGCCCGTTCGACGCTCCACTGCGCAATTGGCGGTTGCTTTTTGCAGCAGCGAATCGGCTTGGCGCTTGTCCGTGGTCTCCTGAGAAACACGCACACACGCGTGTGCACTCACTGAACGGGGACGTAAGGTTGACCAGGGGCATTATCCACAAATAATACCGCCTACTGCTTGTTCGGCTGCTCTCCACGCCCCCAGCCCAATAGCAATTACTGCAGTAAGACAGGCCCTTTTCGTTTTTGCCTCCCCCCTCCGCCCGAAGTCACGGATTTGTTGTGCGCTCGCTCCTCTTTTCTTGGGCTCTCCTTTTTTCCTCCCGTGTTCCCTCCAATGTCCATTTGTTCCCACCACTCTTTCGCTTGATCTACCTCGTTTCCCATACATTCGTTTTGCTTCGTTTTCTCTTTTTTTCTACCTACTTGCGTTACCTTTTTGGAATACGGTTTCTTGTTGTCGCTGTGTTTGGTTCGAGCCAGCGTGAGAGAGGGCCCCTTTTCTCTCGTTTCTCTCGTTTACTGGATCCGTTCACATCGTCTTCACTTTCATTTTTGTCTTTCTTGTCTCATTCGTTTTCTACATTGTTTTGTCGCTCCGCAGACGCGAACGCCTCGCCCGTCCTTTCGTCCTCCCTCTCCCTCCTCGACTCACTCAGATCTCGATAGCAAATCGCAGCTCCGAAAGGGTGAATAGCCCCCCGCCCCCCTTTTCGTACTACCCTTCCTGCCTCGTCTCGTGACCATGGTCGTATGGCTTCAGTTCCTGACTTCTTGCGACAACTGCCATTCACATAATGCATCTTCGTTCACTATCGGAAGCTCGTCGCTAACCTGACTCTTCTTGCAGGGCCATGTCTCTCCCCGACCGACCTGGCGGCGGTCCGGCGTTTGACTCGCGGAATTCGTACCGCGAGTCACCCCAGCGACGTCGCCCGACAGATGTCGAGACTGGTGGCTATTATCCCGTCGACGGGCAACATCAACGTGGGGCATCAATAACCTCTTTTACCGAAACGGTCAGGGGTCCTAATGGAACAGCAGACAATCTACCTCTTACAAACGCCCCGGAGCACGTCGAGGCCGCAGCCAGAGACGCCCAGCCCTTTCAACGGAAACGAAGCCTGATTCGCCCCGAGCGGAACCGGATAGGCAAAGACCACCCCAACTACCACTACCGCAAACATGCCGCGAACATGAACACTATACCCTCATCGACGGGCAACGACCCTATTTTGGAAGACTTAGAGGGTGCCACCGATGTATCCGGCTCACGCATCGGCGATGCCGTTTCCGACACCTCGCAGACGCCTCGACCGATCGGCCGGAGTCGCACGAACAGCGACGAGGTCGAAAAGAACCGCGAGCGGCGGCGCGCTTCCGGCCGCGGCAAGTCGACAAAGATTCGGAAAGATGGTACCCGCAACAAGAAAGCCGAGACAATTCGTCCACCGAGTTTGTGGAACGTGTACTGTGCGATTGTGACTTTCTGGTGCCCTGACGTCTTCTTAAGAACCTGCTGCAAGAAGACTGCCAAAGAGCAGCAGCGTGCGTGGCGTGAGAAGATGGGTCTCATCAGCATCATCCTCATGATTATGGCGTTTGTTGGCTTTATCACCTTCGGCTTTAACCAGGCTGTTTGCGGGACTCCTGGCATCCGTCTGCGCGTCAACGAGGTATCTGGCGGGTACATGATCTTCCACGGTACGGCATACGACTTGAGTACCTCGCAGCATCCGCCCGCTGAAGGCATCCCCCGTGGTACCAACGTTCTCTTTGATTTGCCCGAAAAGCATAGCGGCCAAGACGGCAGTTTCCTGTTCCAGAACGTCAACGGCAAGTGCAAGGACGTCATCACGCGGGCGCCCAAATCTGATGTCCCCACGGACTCGAACAACAACCTGGCGTGGTACTTTCCCTGCACGACGTACAACCAGGACGGTTCAAGCGCTGTCAATCTCACCATTCCCTACTACCTAGGCTACGCTTGCCACACCACATTTGACGCCCGCAACACCTTTTATACTCAGCTGCACAGTACCGCCTCTGTCTACTTTACCTGGGAGGATATCAAGAACAGTTCGCGCAACCTGATTGTTTACTCGGGCAACGTTCTGGATCTCAACCTTCTGTACTGGTTCAACGAGACACAGGTTACTATCCCGAACCGCTTCAAGGAGCTCCGTGACACCACCACATCGGCGAACCAGGCCATTCGTGGCCGTGATGTGACCCGCATGTTCCAGTCCTCTGGTGACAAGGCCTACGCTGAGTGCTTCGAGGACATCATCAAGGTCGGTACCGTGGACACGGACACCGTTGGTTGCATTGCCTCAAAGGTTGTTCTGTATGTGTCCCTGGTTCTCATTCTGTCTGTTGTCGTGTCTCGTTTTGTTTTGGCCATCTTTTTCCAGTGGTTCCTCAGCAAGGCCTACGCGGCGTCCAAGACGTCGCAGTCGTCCGATCAGCGCAAGCGCAACAAGCAAATTGAAGACTGGAGCGACGACATCTACCGCGCTCCCATCCGGATGCCGGGTGATGTTGGCAGCAGTGTAGCTGGCGCTAGCTCTGACCGCAATAGCAAGCGCAGCAGCTTCCTGCCGACTACGTCTCGCTTTTCTGCTGTGTCGGCCGGCGACCGCAACTCCCGTATCCGCATGGCACCAACGACCATGGCCAGCCAGAGCTCGGGTGCCCAGCTACTTCACCCCAACTCCCTCTACCGCCAGGGCAACGACAGTCGGAGCAGCTTCCTTCGTGCAGGGTCTTACAACAACAACGTAAGTCCAACAGACGGCCCCGGTCCCGCCGGCTTTATTCATGAGGCCGTTGTACCGCAGCCCCCGTCGGACTGGATGCCGTTCGGTTTCCCTCTTGCACACACGATTTGCCTCGTCACCGCCTACTCGGAGGGTGAGCTTGGTATTCGCACGACTCTCGACTCGGTTGCTATGACGGACTACCCCAACAGCCACAAGGTTCTTCTTGTTGTCTGCGATGGATTGATCAAGGGCAAGGGCGAATCGTACTCGACTCCGGATATTGTTCTGAACATGATGAAGGACTTGACCATTCCCAGGGATGAGGTTGAGGCGTTCTCGTATGTTGCTGTTGCCAGTGGTTCCAAGCGTCACAACATGGCCAAAATCTATGCTGGTTTCTACGATTACGGCGCCAAATCCAGCATCCCTCTCGACAAGCAGCAGCGTGTGCCGATGATGGTCGTTGTCAAGTGCGGCACGCCGGATGAGGAGTCCAAGTCCAAGCCCGGCAACCGTGGTAAGCGCGACAGTCAGATCATCCTGATGTCGTTCCTTCAGAAGGTTATGTTCGACGAGCGTATGACGGAGCTCGAGTACGAAATGTTCAACGGTTTATGGAAGGTGACGGGCATCTCTCCCGATTTCTACGAGGTCGTATTGATGGTCGATGCCGACACCAAGGTCTTCCCCGACAGTCTCACGCACATGGTCTCAGCCATGGTCAAGGATCCGGATATCATGGGCCTGTGTGGTGAGACCAAGATCGCCAACAAGCGTGCCAGCTGGGTGTCCGCCATCCAGGTGTTTGAGTATTTCATCTCGCATCATCTGTCCAAGTCCTTCGAGTCCGTTTTTGGTGGTGTCACCTGTTTGCCTGGTTGTTTCAGCATGTACCGCATCAAGGCTCCCAAAGGTGCTCAGAACTACTGGGTGCCGATTCTCGCCAACCCCGACGTTGTCGAGCACTACTCGGAGAACGTCGTTGACACGCTGCACAAGAAGAACCTTCTGCTCCTTGGCGAAGATCGTTACCTCACGACGCTGATGCTGCGGACCTTCCCCAAGCGGAAGCAGGTATTCGTGCCCCAGGCCGTGTGCAAGACCACGGTTCCTGAGTCGTTCATGGTGCTTCTGTCGCAGCGTCGTCGGTGGATCAACTCGACTATCCACAACCTGATGGAGCTAGTGTTGGTCAGAGACCTGTGCGGTACCTTCTGCTTCAGCATGCAGTTCTTCATCGGCGTTGAGCTGATCGGAACTCTTGTCCTCCCTGCCGCTATTGCCTTTACCTTCTACGTCAGTAAGTACAACCTATTTCCTTTCATTTTCTCGGTTTCCTGCAGTCCGGCCCTTCCCGCCTTTCATGTACAGAGCTGTCACTAACGAACCAAGTTATCATTTCCATCGTTCATCGCCCGCCACAAATCATCCCGCTTGTCCTTTTGGGTCTTATTCTGGGTCTGCCCGCTGTTCTTATTGTGGTCACCGCGCACCGGTGGTCGTACGTTCTGTGGATGTTGATCTACTTGATTTCGCTTCCGATATGGAATTTTGTCTTACCGACTTATGCCTTCTGGAAGTTTGACGACTTCTCGTGGGGTGAAACGCGCAAGACGGCTGGTGACAAGACGAAAAAGGCCGGTATTGAGTACGAGGGCGAGTTCGACAGCAGCAAGATCACCATGAAGCGGTGGGCCGAATTCGAGCGCGACCGGCGGACACGCAGCCAGTACTGGAGCTCGCGCGAAAACCTTGTCGGTGCTGGTGTGCCGAGCGGTACGTGGTCGATGCCGCCGCCGGGCCACCAGCAATTTGACGAGTACTACTCGGACGCATAAGTTCTATCGCACCTCTTGGCGCTGGTTCTTTTCTTTCTGATTTTGGCCCCATTACTGGTCGTGGCCCTTTCGATTTCTTGTACATCTCATATTGCCGGATTTTCTCACTGCATTTGTTTGCATGCGTAGTCTGTTTTTTTTCCTATGTTCTGCTTCCTGTCTCTCACTCTCTCTCTTTACGGTGGGTTTTCTCTGTTGTTGGCAAACCATTGGGCATCTGCTTTGATTTCTCTTTGTCTTTTTTTTATTTTATTTTTCGAATCTCTCTCACACTATTTTATTTAATGACACACAACACACACTTTACATATGCACATTTTCATAGTTTAGGGGTTTGCAGAAAACTGGGTGTTTGCGCAGGGTTAATACATGGACGACACGTCTTTTACTTATTCAAATGGCACTGCTTCACCGTGTTTCTGTTGTGTTCGACACGATCTGGTCATTGCGACCAGGCTGTATTTCTCTATGGTTGTTTATGCTGGCACTTGCCGACAGTCTTAAATGCTGCGACCTGCTTGGCATCTGATTCTATCTGTTTTTTTATCCATGTATGTAATCGGTGAGCACCTATTTTCGATGGTTGACTCTAGTTCTGCAACGGGCTCGGCTCCTGGCTCGTAAAGTTGCCCGACAGCGAGCCCGATGCAACGCAGATGGTGCCGGCGCCCTGGCTCAGACCTGTGTCGTCGGTGCTATTCGTCTTGGAGCACTGTAGGCCGCGGGGCACGAGGGACCCAGACGCCTCGAACTTTGTTCTGCTTTTGTTAGAAAACTGGCCGTGGCTTCGCATATTAAGAAAAGAAATAAAATAAAATAACGAAAAATCTGGAGACAGAATAGCTATACTTACGCAGTCTGGCCGGGACATGTTGCCTCGATGGCGGTGATCTTGCCCTTTTGCCAGATGAACGAAACGGTGCTGTCGTCGCAGGCATATCGTGGGGTCAGGCTGGTGCCGACGGTCAGCGACTGCGACGAGGCATTGTAGGAGCAGGGCGTCGTGATTTTGGTTCCGCTGTCGATGTAGAGGAAAGACACGTAGGACTGGGAAGTGTTGGCCGCCGGCGACCAGGTCGTAAGGTTGTCGAGGGTAAAGGTGGCTGGGTAGTAGCAAGACGAGGATGACGAGGACGAGGACGGAGCAGAAGAATGGGACGAAGAGGAAAACGCCGAGCCAGTGCCGGTCGGTGCGGCCGCAGAGGCAGATGCCACCGGATCAGGGTTGCCCGCTCCAAAAAGGGCCAGCAGCTCGTCGGGGATGTCGTACTGGAGAAGTTGCAGGCCGTTGGCAGCTGTGGCCAGCAGAGAGAGGAGAGGGAGGTGGGCGAGAAGCTGCATGGCTAAGGAGGTTGGTGATGGTGTTCCAAATTGGAGTTGCACTGGTTGAAGAATTGAAGAGAGCGATAAAAGGCAGGCCAGCTGTGCCAAGATAAAATTGCTTGATGCTTTAAAACAGTCTGGAACCAGGCTAGACTGAGATGAGAGAGAAAATAACAAAGAAATAGATTGGAGATTAAAGAAGGAAGATAGAACAAAATGATTGGGAAGAGTGTGGATAGGAAGATACGAACGGATAGAGAAAGCAAGGCAGGACCTTAAGAACAGAATAAAAGGGGGCGTACGACGTGGGAAGAAACAGATCACTTCGAAGGAAAAATGACTGGGCAAAGTAGAAAGGAAGAAAACCAAGGATGTAGTTCAGCAACGACGGCGATTTTCTTCTCCTTCCCTTTGCCAACTTGCGTTGTCCGTTTGTACCTGCCTTGCCAAGGAACGCGGTCTTTCCCAATCAAGTATTTTTGTTCTACTTACAACAGCCGCTGGCGCTCAGGACCCCTTGCGCCAAGAGCTTTGTTGCCCCTGACCAGTGTTAACGGCGCCGTTTGTGTATGTCTTGGGTCATCCTATCGCACTACCAACAAACTGCGGCTCGGCCGACAATTGCACAACACATCATGGGCGACGCAAGTACTGTGTACTCCGTACAGCGTACGGGAGACGGGCGTCCGGTAGTACAACAGAAACAGAGCAGAAGACGGAAAGAGCTACTGGATCCGGCTTCACCAAAGTCCAAAATACCTTTCCCGGAGTAATACATCACCAAAAGGCAAGTCCGTCCCTCGAAAGGGGCCCGCGCCTGGCTACTTCCTCTCCCTCGAACTGGCGCGCAAGATTGTGACCACCGGCCGATCGCTACTGGGCCCAGCGTTGGAACAGCCATAAAGCACGGGGCTCTCACTGTAAATATCCAACCTGGACGAAAAGAGTGGCTCATGCCCCGCCGTCGACCCAGTTGTCTAGCTCTTTTTTCTGGTTATTGTTTGTTTCATGTTTCCCGCTTTTAGCACTGCCATCGCACTGCTTTTTGGACGGAGTGAAGCGCACTGTGATTACGTCGTATCCATTCTCGTAAGGTATGCGATATGGGGCGAATTAATCACATGAAAACAGCAGCGGCGACAGCTGATAAAAGGCACAGAGGCTATATTACTCTGCATTTTGCCATACGACCGGTTAAGAAGCGAGAGGAAACGGCCCCGTTGGTCTCTCGTGGCACAGCGCGCGCGCGACCAACGGCTGCAAAACAACTTGGCAGCTAACAACAACTCGTGTTGAAGACGTGCATAAAGGAAAGCCTGTCCTACGACATCCTCTTCGCGCGAATGAGATCCCTGAGCGTTGCACCTGTCGGGGGCTCGGGAGGTATCCATGTGTCTCCGGTGATGCTCGCCCTTCCCGCCTTGTTTTGGGTCGTCTTTGCCGGAATGGCACGACGTCGAGCCCCAAGTCATCCACGATTCCATGAACACAGGCGAGACAGGCTCGACAGAGACAAAATACGGAGTAATAAGTATGTCGTACGTCAGAAACAAACAAACATCGAGGCAGTCATATCGCATGCACGGTTCCGGGGCTCAGAAGCGATGTACCAGGGTCCATGGTCGTATCGGCAGCCCTTGTGGACGGTGACATGTCGAAATGCAGACCTCGTCCATGCACAGTGCCGATGGTACAGTGTTCTTTTAGAGTACAAAGCACATATTTGACTACGGAGGACAATGACTAAGCCGATTGCACCGCCATACTAGCCGCCACACTACTTGCCACAGCAGCACGTGCACCCCAAAATATCGAGGGCTTCTCGAATCTGCTGAAGACAAACGTGCACGTGACGCACAAATATTCCGAAATCCTGGACATATTTTTCCGTCCATAGCCCAAGCGGTGCACCATTAGTTTTTCCGAACAAATAGAGGATCCACGCATCCAAAAATCCACTAGTTTTTTTTTCCCACACGCTGGCCGAGGAAAAAAGCTCATATTACTTTTCGCTCTCGTTTTGGCCCTTTCTCTCTTCCATCGACAACCGACGAAACGACAACCACAATCGTCTCGACCAACCCCCGAAGACACGATCACAATGGCAAAGGAAGCCGCCCCCAGAACCGGCCTGGCCGTCGGCATCAACAAGGGCCACGTACGTTCGATCCCCGATTATCCCCAAGGAAGACAGGCCGTCAATGGCGTCGGACGACAGGACGACAGCGACAACGACGACAACGGGCGATGGACAATGCAGGGACGTGATGGGCGGGTTGAGAATTTCTTGAAGCGCGTTGGGGGATAGCAGCTGCCAAGTTTTGTATTGGCACCGAATATTCCCTGCGAGTCAAGCTGGAGCATTGTGCATGCACTGGACACGATCTGCATTTTCCGTCGACCATTGACCGTTGAACGTCATCTGTCGACCGTCTGTCCCGCGACCATCAGACCTGGAACATCCCACGGGAACCACGATGCAAGACGCCGAGAAACACAGAGACTAACCTCCCGCTTAGAAAACCACCCCCCGCGTTGTCAAGCCCCGTGTGTCCCGCACCAAGGGCCATCTGAGCAAGCGCACCGCTTTCGTCCGCGACATCGTCAAGGAGGTTGCTGGCCTCGCTCCCTACGAGCGCCGTGTTATTGAGCTGCTGCGCAACAGCAAGGACAAGCGCGCACGCAAGCTGGCAAAGAAGCGGGTGAGTAGTCGAGGCCCCAAAAAAAAACAATATACGCTCGACTCTTGTGTCAACTACAGACTAACATGCAACCAGCTCGGTACCTTCGGCCGTGCCAAGAGAAAGGTGGACGAGCTCACCCGGGTGATCGCCGAGTCGCGCAGACATTAAACGGAAAACCAAAGATGAACGAATTTGCGCGAGTTGATGATTTCCATGTTCCTGGGTGATAAGGCCGAGGAGAGAGGATGCATCTGGAGGGGGAGCGGTGACGACATCAAAACACAAGGCGAAACGCATACCCGAGGGCCACCTAACACTCGGCTTGCTCAACGGGGCAAATGGGAAACGAGGAATTTAGGAGTCGAAAAGCACCACATATGACGCTCCCCAAAGCGGTGGCTGAGGAAGGATTCGGGGAAACGAGACAAAAGGGACCGCAGAATCAAACAACTTCGACAATCCAAACCGGGTGGACGAGAGAGGGAGAGTTTTGCGGTTTTCTCGTTCTTCTTCTCCTTCTACATTGCTTCCACAGCCTTCTTGTTTTTAGCTTTTCAGCGTCCTCGCAGTCTGTTACACAACCCCGCCAACCTCTTCTTTTGAGTCCTTTTATTACTTTTTTATTCTTGCTCTTGGGTCGGCATTTCGGTTGGCGTCAACACAAAATCAAATCTACAAAAAATAAGAAAATTCATGCAACAGTACATTCCCTTAGTGAATTGCAAATGTCTTTGTATTGGGGGTAATACAGATGTAAAACTGGTGCTGATTTGAATTCTCGTACGACGTATAAAAAACACAACATCATGCTAAAGTGTATTATGACAAAGTGATTGTCTCTCCGGCGGCCGCCCTACTTCTTTGCTAGCCGCAGGAACTTGGACATCTTGTTGACGGCCTCGTTCTTGTCGGGCCGCTTAGTGTCGCCGCCTGCCTTTGATGATGACGGCTTGGCTTCCTCGTCCTCGTTCTCGTCCTCGTCGGTTGCCGTAGGCGGGATCACAATGTCCCGTGCCAGCGCCGCCACTTCCGGCCGTACATACGGCTGGCCGGCTGGCGGTGCGGGAACATCCGCTCCGCGCCGGAAATTGACTACAATACCGCCCCGCATGCCATAACCGCGGACCAGGTCGTCTTTGGCGCTGCCGGAACGGTCGAGAATCACGTCTCGTGACATGGGCGGTGACAGCAGAAACGCATCGTCTTTGACGGCCGGGTGAAGCACACCACGGACGGCGGCGTGAAGGGTGGCGCCCGTCGCACCGTTGGCAAACGACCACATGACTGTGTGGCCGTCCGGGAAACGGATGCGGACGTCAACACGGTCCACGGCCGCCGCTTTGGCCTCACGCTCACGCGCCTCCTCCTCGAGCTCCTCGTCCGACTTGAGCCGCTTGTTCCGCCCGGCCTCTTCAAGCTGCTTCTGATGCGCCTTCATTTGTGCTATGGACGGTGCAAAGACCGACTCGGGCTCTTTGGCCCAGCGCAGTGACGCTGCCGCAGGCATGCCAGCCGTGGCCTTGGGTGGTGACCAGACCTGGACCGGTTGCAGATGCGACACTAGCTGAGATGCGCTGTCCACGTCCATGGGCTCTGCAGCTGCCGGCGCTGGCCCTGGAGCTGGCGGTGCCTCCGGCGCCTCGGTTTCTGGTGAACTCTCCGCTGGTGCTGCTTTTTCTGCAGCACTACTTGTCGGCGCCAGTTCTGGTGCGGCCGGAGCTTGTGCGGGAGCAGGCGCAGCCACAACCGCCTGGCCGATAGCGACGTCTACGTCTGTCTTCTCCAGTTGGGTTTGCACCGCCTCCATGGCCTCTTGCAGCGTCATATCCGAGGTTCGGAACTCGAGCACAATCAACTGGCTGCCCGTGTCGATGCCAACCTGTGACAGCGTCTTGCGGAAGTCGGCAAGTGAGGACAGCACACGGCCGCAAAACTTGAGCACCGGCGTCTCCCAGTAGAGCTGCCCCGAGCCGCTGCCGACCACCGCCGCCGTGGTCGACCCCGTTGTCGCGGACCCCGTGTGACTTGTCCGCGGCACGCCCCGCGCTGTGATGTTCAGCCCCTTTTGCTTCGCACCATCAGCCTCCTCCAGGTGCCGCAGAAGCTTCCACAGTGGCGTGTCGCTTCGCACCTTGGCTGACACACGGTTGTAGGGGAAGCCGAGGGCCGCTTCCGACGGCGGCAGGCGGAGAGCGACGGTAACGGCCGTTGGCGTCTTGGACTTGACCACCAGCTCGAGCTTGGCGCCCTGAGTAAGGCCGACCGCGCGGATAGGGTCTGTCAGGTTGATCGGCTTATTGTTATGCTTTAACAAGTAGTTCTCGGCATGGAGCTTGAGCTTTGTGCAAGCTTCCTCGAGCACGTCCATCATGTACCCGCCGGCCGGGGCCTTGACATTGGCGCGGCGCAAGTCGGTCGATATGACGATGAAGGAGGTCGCCATGGTCGACTGCGATCGTAGAGAGATGCTTGTCAAGGGGGTAGGAGTGCGGCCAAAAGGTAAAGCCCAAAAGATCAAAAAATAAAAAGAAGAAGAAAAGTCTGGGATATATCGTTTGCGTAGGCCCCAGTTGTACTGTACTGGCGATCGCGGGGAACCTGTCAAAGAAAACGGAGCTGGCTAGCTAAACAGCTTCCTGGATGTAGGCAATAGGCATGGCCAAATCGTTTGTAAGTTCAAGATACCTGTCAACTCTTCCAACAGGTATATTGTGGTGGAAAAGGGCAAATATCCGACTTGTGATGTAAGTATTGCAGAAGACTAGAGAATTGCACAGAAAGCGGAAACGTAGGCACAGTGGTTGTTCTTGCCGATTGGAGGGGCCATCTCACTAAGTGCAGGAAAGAGCTCTCCTGCCCTGCCGTAAATAGTTTTACTAATAAGCTTAGGGGTGGTGCCTGCCTCCACGCGCCACGCCGCCACTGGCACAGCAGGCAGGCAAATACGCGCGGACCAACCACAACAGGGCGGGCAGCTCCAGGCCCAGGCTGGCCAGGCCAGGGCGTCAGCCAGCTCCACCTCAGCACCACCAACCAAATCTAGGTCACGTTTTCCAGCCGCGCCAGCTGCATGATTGCCTTCGTTTTGGCTGTGCTGTTTCGTGAAGCTCCAAAGTCTTCAATCCCATCACGACCATCACGACCACACCTTATCCAGCCCACATTGGCATCTCCTCGAACGATTGTATCACCACAGACACCTGCGAATCTCGCCCTTATTTCCACGTATTCATCGCATTGCATCTTTGCAAGAACTAGATCTCCCAACCTCCCCTCCGGAAGCTGCCCTTTAAGCTACATCGTCTTCGCCCGGCGTCTCCTCTCTCCTCCATCTTTCTCGAAGCGCAGGAGCCGGCTGCTTCTGTCGATTCGTCCTTCTCTCCGACAATATGGTAAGATATTTGGGACGACTACATTCAAGCATGCGTGGCCGACTGGGCCTGTCAACGACCATGAAGCTGACCTGCTTTCTCTCTATAGTCTTCTCCCTTCTCAATAAGTACGCATTTTCCGACTTCGCTGAACGATGATGTATCGTCCTGGACACATTGCATAATGCTGTCTACACCAAACCGCGCGGATTTGCAGATGCTAACGTAGCTCTCTCCCCACAGACGGCGGCGCCTGTGTCGCCATGGTCGGCAAGGACTGTGTCGCAATCGCTTGCGATCTCCGCCTCGGCATGCAGGCTCTCACCGTCTCCAACAACTTCCCCAAGATCTTCCAGTACGGCGACCACGTCTTCCTGGGCCTGACGGGCCTCGCCACCGATGTTAGCACCGTCTCCGACCTCTTCCGCTACAAAGTCAACCTGTACCGCCTGCGCGAAGAGCGCCACATTGCGCCCAAGACGTTTGCCAACCTCGTCTCGTCGTCGCTGTACGAGAAGCGCTTCGGCCCCTACTTTGTCAGCCCCGTCGTTGCCGGCCTCGAGCCCAAGACGGGCCAGCCGTTTATCTGCGGCTTCGACAGCATCGGCTGCATTGATTTTGCCAAGGACTTTATCGTGTCGGGTACGGCGAGTGAGCAGCTGTTTGGCACATGCGAGAGCCTGTGGGAGCCCAACTTGGGGCCGGAGGACCTGTTTGAGACCATCTCCCAGGCGCTGCTCAACGCCGTGGACCGCGATGCGCTGTCCGGCTGGGGTGCGCACGTGTACATTATCGAGAAGGACAAGGTGACCAAGCGGTTGCTCAAGGGACGGCAAGACTAGAGGGGAAGGGGTGACGAGAAAATGAGGGCAACGGAGTGTGTAAGACAGATGGATCAAAGAGCGAGGTAAATACGAGCTCCTCGTATCTTTCAGTATCTGCACTCTTGGAGCGTCCTCGGTGTAAGATACCATTCGTCTTTTAATGGATGGTCCAAAATACGTCGTCCATCCATCCGTGCAGCGCATTGAAATTAAACATGTAATCTACGATAAAAGAAAAAGCGATATGAGTTCGCCAAGGTCGTTGCAAGTGGAGAGTACGACCATGGCTTCGCCTGGCTAACTTAAATATGAACGGAGTCTCTTTTAACAATTTTTTTAATATTTTGGCCGCGGCTTGTTCCTATCTAAGAGCCACCCCCAACGCTGAATATAGTTCCACATTTTAAAATACATGTTCCTCCGAATGTATACCAAATAACCTGAGATGCGTGTGGTATTTAGGTTATTTGGTTTTCCTTCATTTTCGTCCCCCTTTCGAAATGATGTCTATATGTCTATCAGAGGTCCATATTCATCCGAGCTTGATGAATCCCGTGTTCTCTGCACCATAGGCCAGGCAATTTTGCATTCTATTAAGAATGCGCATTCTCGCCAATTTTCTTTGAGAGAAGTGAGGCAAGATCCGTAGATACCTGCTCCCCATTAGTTCTGCTTCTTCGCCGTGGTGACCTTGGTGACCTCGGTGGACGGAGCATCAACAAAGAAAAGGCGCTCCAAGAACTTGAGCACCTCGTCGATGAGCACCACCGGCGCACTGAGGACCAGAACCGCCTTCCACTCGTTCCAGTTGAGCGGCAGGATCGAGAAGAGCGTCTGCAGGAACGGAATGTACAGCAGGGCAAAGTGCAGCGCCATCGACAGCGAGATAGCGTAGACCAGGATCATGTTCTTCCACAGCGGCAGCGTCAGGAGTGACTCGCTCGACGACAGCGCGTTGATGGCGTTGAACATCTCAATAACGACCAGAATTGACAGCGACACGGTCGACGCGGCCTTGGCGCGGTCGTCGGCGAACATGGCGCAGCCAATATCAGAGAAGTCGGCTGAACAGCGGTGGAAGTGCGACAGCTGCCAGAAGCTAATCTGAGGGCCCTCCGCATTGTACATAAACCACCATGCATAGCCGGCGACGGTGGCCAGGCCGACGTACGTGCCAATGACGAGGTACCGGAAGAAGAGCCAGCCACTGATCAGAGCTTCGTCCCGCTTGCGGGGCGGGCGGCGCATAATGTCATGGTCAGGCGGGTTGAACGAGAGCGCCGTGGCCGGGAGACCGTCGGTGACCAAGTTGACCCACAGCAGCTGCACTGGGATCAGAGCCTCAGGCATGCCCAGGGCAGCCGTCAGGAAGATGGACACGACCTCACCAATGTTGGAGGAGATCAGGTAACGGATGAACTGCTGCGTGTTGTTGTAGATGGACCGGCCCTCTTCAATAGCAGACTCAATGGTGGCAAAGTTGTTGTCGGCCAGGACCATGTCGGCGGCCAGCTTCGACACGTCCGTGCCAGAACCCATGGCGACACCAATGTCGGCCTTCTTCAGCGCAGGGGCGTCGTTCACACCATCTCCAGTCATCGCCACGACCTCGCCGAGCTGCTGGAGCAGGTCGACCAGGCGGGACTTGTGCGTGGGCTCGACACGGGAGAACAACAAAGCGGTCTTGGCGGCCTCAAGCTGCTCGCTCGGGCTCAGGTTGTCAAACTCGCGGCCCGTGTAGCTCTTGCCCGTCACATCCTCGTCGGCGCCAAAGACGCCGATCTGGCGACAGATGCTCTCAGCGGTGTTGCGGTTGTCGCCCGTGATCACAATAACGCGGATGCCAGCTTCTTTGCAGAGACGGATGGACTCGGGGACCTCCGGACGGGGCGGGTCGAGCATGCCAACGAGACCGACGAGCGTCATCTTCTGCTCAAGCTGAGCGTATTCCGAGGTCGTCTTGGCCGAGTGAGCGAGCGCGTGGCCAGAAACATCGTCGACGGTGGCCAGAGCAATGACACGAAGACCATCGTTGCCGTAGTCGACAACCTCACGCAGCAGCAAATCAACCAGGTCGCGGGTCAGCGGCACCTTCTTGCCGTCGGCGCCCACCAGAGTGTGCGAGCACCGCTCAATGATCGACTCGGGGGCGCCCTTGACCAGAAGCTTCTCGGCATCGCCGTCCTGGACAAGGACAGACATGCTCTTGCGGTCGCGGGAGAACTCGTAGGTGGCAAGGCGAGGCAGTTTCTCCTCGTAGTAGGCGCTGGCGTGGTGAACAAGGTCGCGGGGCTTGGTGTTGGCGGGGGCAACGGGACCGATCTTCTCAGCCAAGACGCGCAGTGCACCCTCGGTGGGCTCGCCGATGTTAGTGAAGGTGTTTGAGAGCGAGTCGTAGGCAAGGCGGGCATCGTTGCAAAGCGCAGCGACCTCGGCCAACTGGCGGACGGTAGACGAGGACTCGGACAAGTTGGTCACGGCCTTGCCACGGGAGGTTTTGATGTTGCCACGAGGCGAGAAGGTGGTCCCCTCGACGGTCAGCTCCTCCAGATCCTTGCCATCCTCGCGGATGTAGACAATCTTGTTCACGCTCATCTGGTTGGTGGTCAGGGTGCCCGTCTTGTCGGAGCAGATAACGCTGCAGCTGCCGAGAGTCTCGACAGACGGCAGGCTGCGGACAACGGCGTTCTTGGCGGCCATCTTGCGCGTGCCCAGAGCCAGACAAGTGGTGATGACAACAGCCAGGCCCTCGGGAATAGCCGCGACGCCAAGAGACACGGCAATCTTAAGGTAGTAGATAGCGCCCTTGGTCCAGTTGCCGTGGCTCGGATCGCCAAAGTTGGGGATGTTGATAAGCCAGACGAGAATGCAGATGACGGTGATGACCTTGGCAAGAGAGTCGCCAAAATCGTTGAGCTTCTGCTTGAGCGGGGTCGGCTCGGAGATTTGAGCGGTTATGCTCTCGTGAATATCGCCAATAGCAGTGTTGGAACCGGTCAGAACGACAACGGTGGTCGCGCGGCCCGTGACCACGGTGGTGCCAGAGAAGAGCATGTTGACCTGGTCCTGCTTGACGGCCTTGTCGTCCTTGACGACAGCGGCGCTGTCCTTGTTAACACTTTCGCTCTCGCCGGTCAGAATGGCCTGGTCCACAGCGAAGCTGTTGCTCTCGACATGGACCAGACGGCAGTCGGCTGGGATGCGGCTGCCAACAGAGACGGAGACGATATCGCCGGGAACCAGTTCGTCGGCCTTGACGCGGGCGACGGTGCCGTTGTTGCGGATGACGTTGGCCTCGTTGGCCGAGTACTCTTGGAGCGCCGCAATGGCCTTCTCGGCGCTGCTCTCCTGCGAGACACCGACGACGGCATTCAGAATCAAGATGGTGAGGATGACGGCTGGGTCCACAAAGGCACTCCAGCCACCCTCGTCCTCAAACAAGGCGAGCACAAACGACACGACGGCTGAGCCCAGCAGGATAATGACCAACTGGTCCTTGAACTGCTCGAGGATGAGCTCCCATAGCGGAGTAGGTGGCTCCTCGGCGATGGCTATGGGCGAGGTTAGCATCTTACTCCGCAAAACAACATCTTAGAAACAATCCTGGCTCTCCCCGTCCAATATATACGTACAATTACTGCCGTGCTTGGCCCGCTTCTCGCGGACCTGGGCGTCCGTCAGTCCAAGAGCGCCGTCAACGCCAAGCTGGGCGAGGACCTGCTCAGTCGACAAGGTAAAGGCGTTCTCCATGGCGAAGAGGGTCAGGTCCAGGACCTCAACAACGCAATGTGAGTCAACACTGAAGCTCGATGTGAGTCTCGAAAACTTTGGAGATATGCCAGGTGCTATGCAGAATCTGACAAGGTCGAAGACTGTGCCAGCAGCTCTAATGTAGCTACGCCCCGACTGGACACTGAAGAGGGGGGACAAAAAAAGATCGGACACGGCGTGGAGGAGGCAAGGGAGGGACAAAAGGAGTAAGAAGTGGGAGACAAGGCTGGCTTGCAAAGACGTGCTTGCAGTCTCCGCTGGACTGGTAAATGTCCGTCACAACGAGGCGTCCGTTTGAAAGCGGTCCAGGGACCAATTGCGTGAACGCAGGCCTGTCGAGCACTGGATGATGCAAGGAACAGACCAGGGCAGCGAAAGGAACGCGGCGGAGGACGACGAAAGCAGCAGAGCAGCAGCAGAGAAACAAAAAGAAAAGAAAAACAAACGACAGAAAGAAAGGGAAATAGAAAGCCGGAAAGACAGAAAGTGAGAGGCTGGAATAAGCCGGGCTAAGGCACTGCTGAAAAATCACAGCTAGAGAAAACTTCCTATTCCAATGGCTCCTGTCCGCGGAGGAAACGTGTTCGGCGGCGGCAATGGGTGTGGTGCGGGAGTTTGTCCATTTATCAGAGTCAAAAAGTGAGGTTCCAACATCGCCCAGAATTCCCCTGAACAAGCGACGTGTCTTTTAGGCCGTAGCAGCTTTTTAGAGAGATACTACAAATACGGCGCCTGTAGAAAAGGGAAGGCGCACCGTGCGTTTTTGCCATTGCCAGGCACCCAGCTGGCTAGCGCCCCTAGTTTCAAACAGCAAACACGTTTAAACTATCTTACCAGGCGAGGCAGGTACGACCCTGTTGCAACGCCACGGCCGTCACTGTCCACCAACCAATCCAAGACCTACTTCTCACTAGCTCCTTCCTCCGTATCGGGCTGCCCATGTTTCCGTTAGATGCTCGGCACTCTTCCGTACTTTCCGCCTGCTGAGTATTCTGCCACCCAAACGAGGCCCGTTGCCTGCCGTTCTTGCCTGCCGTTCTTGCCTGGCCTGCATGAGAAGGAATTTGCCTGCAAGCACTTGCTGTCGGGAACTTAAAAGATTTGGAGAGCAACAGGAAGGAAAGAGCTTCCAACACGTCCCCCAGGCCCCACTTGCAGCAACCATTACACAACCCAACAAGCGACACTGGGCAAGAGCCTCCCGGTCAGTATGGCTGGCCAGGCCCAACTAGGGCTACAAATACTCCTTATAGAGGGCCACGTCGCCTCTCAGGCCTCTAACCAGCAATCAATAATCGTGCACCTGTTTGATCCGCGCTGAATTGAGCCTCAAATCGAGAGGTCACATGGCGAAGAAACCACACAGCCGATGATCGCCACTGAGACCACGGTGTCTATTATACAGATGGCCAACGAACAATGGCTGACAAAAGGCTCGGATAAAACGAACGAACAGTGGATGGTGAGAAGAAAAAAAAAAAAAAAAAAAAAAACTAGAAATAGGGAAAAAGACAAATATTAAAACTACAGCGGAAACAGTGTCGTGAAATAGATCAGCTTCCTCTTTGGTGGAACGCGTCTTTGGTATGGTGCGCAATGTGATACGAGACAACTAACGCAGCAAAGTGCTTGAACCGAGCGTACTGGTAATGTTCTTGAACTTGGTATCATTTCTGTCTTATGCCAGCCGGCTTATATCCTTCGTCTCAAAATAATGCGGCCGAAACCAGACCGGGCATCCACAAGCATATGTCTTGTACTATCATCTGACGACAGTTTGTCCGACTGTCCGCATCGATCCTACATGCTTTCAACAAGCAACCATTGGCCGAAACGTAGTGCTCATCGTCGGATGTGAGTCAGGTCCGTGCCTCTCTGCTCACAGCCCGGCCAGCACGCTCTGTACACCCACGCTGCTGGCGTCTTCGCGGCGTTGCACGAATGCCTTGAAGTCGGCCTTCTGCAGCTTCTTGCCGCTGACGCCCGTGCCCGCCGCCGTGGTCAGGTTGCGCGAGCGCTCGCGCAGAGCCTCGGGGCCAATGATAAACAGGTAGCCCACCTCAGTGAGGACCTCGATCGTGGCCTCGCCGTCGCGGCTGAGCGGCCAGGCTTTCAAAGTCGACACGTACTTGGCAATGTCCTTGGTGACCATCAGGCCGCCCGTGGCGTTGACGGCAAACTTCTTAAAGTGCTCAAATAGGAGCCGGAACAGCGCCATGGCCAGCTCACTGCTAAACATGTCGAGGTTGCGCCCATCGATGGACTGCGTCGCCAGCGTGGCCACCTTGTCGAGGAACGTGCAGATGGCGAGGCACGTCGGCGTCTGCAGCGTGTCCACAAGGCTCTCCAAATCGTTATCGCGCGGCCGAAAGTCGGTCCGCTTTTGTGTGGCCAGCGTCTTGGACACCGAGTTGACGACCACGTCCACCGTCGTCTTGAGAATGCTGTTGGTCTTCTTCTCGATGGAGTCGATGCCCACGCGCGTCTGCGCCTCCATGTTGCGACGCACTGTTGGGTTCGAGTCGGCCAGCCGGATAAGCACCGTCTGGATGAAGCGTGCCATGATGCTCGTAATTGTCACGGCAGGCCGCACCGACGGCAGATAACTCAGGTCGGGCTCCGTCTTGACATTTTCCTGCGACGTCGCCACGTCCAGCGCAGCGTCGAGTGCCGTCTCCACGTACACGCGGCCCATGGCCATCATCAGCAGGCCCAGCAGCACGTTGACGTCCTTGGGCGTCTCAGCGGCGCTGCCCAGCTCCAACGTCCGGCGCACGCTCTCGGCCAGCCATTTCATCATGCGCTTGGCGCTGGCCGTGCTGAGCACGCCGTCGTCGTCAGAGACCTCAATTTCGTTCTTCTTGTCCGTGTCCTGGATGCCAGCGACGCGCAACATCATGGTCTTCTGGGTGGGCGTCAGGTCGGACGACTCCAGTCGCTCCATATAGGCGTCCTTGGCCGAAGCCAGCAGCTGCGTGCCCTGCTGGGCAATCTTGCCCATGAAGCCCGCGCGCGTAGCCTTGGGTCGCCGCGAGTGGTACAGCGTAAACTTGAAGAGTAGCGAGTTGTACATCTCCTCCAAGCTCCTCCGCTCCTTTTCAATGTAGGAGCTGCCCACCAAGTACGGGACAAACAGCTCCTCGACCTGCTGGTCCAGAGTCTGCGCAATCTGGCTGGAGCAGGGCTCTGGGTGCTCGGTCAGGCCGTGGGTCTTGAGGTCTTCCACAAGCGCGCCGATGTAGCTCCGCGACGCGTGCAGGGACCGGAGATAAGCAAGCATAGAGACGGTGCTCGCTTTCTCGAGCACCATTTCCAGGCGCTGCTGGATGGACTGCTGGAAGACGCGCTGGATAAACTTGATCAGAACCGTCTCGTAGTAGGGGAAGGCCCGCTTGATGATAAACGACTCCTCCTGCATGATGATGCGGACTTCGTCAATCAAAGACTGCAGGCTCGGCTCAACACCTGGTGGGTCGGCGTCAGGGTCGGCCAACTGGTTCCATGTCTCGCCGTCGGTCGTGACCTCGTCCGTCAGGAGCTGGTCCCTGTCAATAAAGAACTGGTGCTGGTTGACAAACGCGGCGATGACGCTAGTGCCGCCGTTGAAGTCGTGCAGCACCTTGGCGCACTCCAGCATATCGTCAAAGTTCTGCCGCCGGTAGCTGTTGTTGAACTGCTTCAGCAGATCCTGCTCCAATGTCTCCGAGAATTTTTCGAGGGCCTCGCGTGTATTGTGTGTTTGGCCGCCGCCGCCACCGCCGCCCGCACCGTTCGTACCACTGCCGTTTGTCAAATTGCTCGTTCCGTTTGTGCCATTGACTCCGTTTGTGCCGTTGGCCCCGCGCCCGCCTTTCGTCTCGGCCCACGATGCCGGGTCCAGCCGCTGGCTGATGCGCATCAGCTGCCTTGAAATCACGGCACAGCGCACTTTGTTCTCAGCACCACCCTGCCGCTGGATATCTTCGAGCGGCGTCAACTGCCCCGTCTCGCACAGCTCTGTCCAGCACTGCACGAGGAAGGTGGCGTCCAGCGCGCGCCTCCGCTTGCGGTCCAGCTCCTCGAGCTTCTCGCCAATCTGCACGGCAATGTTGCCACCGCCCGTGTCGGGCCCTTGCCGGCTACCCCGCTCGGTCGACCCATTTTCTGCCTCTCCAGGGTTGTTCAGGCTCAGGTCCAGCGCCTCAAACTGCGTCATGGACTGGTCGAGCTTGCTGCCGAGGGTGTCGAGGGTCTGGTCGTGTTGGATCTCCGCGCGGCGCACCTGCGACAAAATGTCTGACTCTTTTTCCTGGAGCTCCTCGGACAGGGAACCGAGTTGGGAGAGTGCATCTAGTAGCAGCGAAAGAGGAAGACTGTTAGCTCGCGACTCCCACCTCCACCCAGCAGCAGTTCCAGCGCATTCTTTGCGATGGCACACTGTAGCACAACTTACTCTCAAACGTCCGGATCAACGGTTTCGGGTCGAATGCCTGCTGTGCCGCCGCCCCAGACCGGCGATTGGACGGTACAGCCGTCTCAGCCAACGTGTCCACAAAATCGCGGACAATAAAGTCCTTACTAGAAAAGTCGTCGAGAGTGAAGCTGGGCCCTTTGGGAAAGAGGGCCCTTGAAGCGGCCGACGAAACGCGCTCCATTGTGTCTCCGTTGCAGACAGCGTCGACGGGAAGAGGGCGGGAATATGAGTAGGGATCGTTATACTGCGTTCAACGGTGAAAGGAGGCGGCCAGAATTGAGGGGAATGGAGGTTGCTGATGGGCCGCAGCCTCGCATCGCCCAGCTATCCGATCCAAGCGGCAGATGTGGTGGCGCGTTGGATGCTGTGGTCGTCAATGTCGTTTGTCTTATGTCGATTGCGCCGTCGGTGCTACAGAGTGACGGTGGAGGAAAGGTGTTGAGTTGGGGCGGCTCTGGTGGCCATCTTGGAAGGGAGCAACATCGCGGATCGACAGCTTGCCCACTGGATGGCGCTGGATGTTAGCGTGGCGCGTGGCTGCAGTCGTACCGCCGCTGGAGCAATAAGTCGTAGTCACTGTGGCTTAGGTGTGGGGTGTCCTCGAGGGCGCTGCTGGGGGAAAGACAGCGCTTGTGATTGGACCGCCGAGTCAGCAACAGGGAGGGACGCCCCAGCCCAGGCCCCCAAACCACATGCTTGAACCAAGCCAAGTGCGCGAATCTTATGAAGAAGGTGCGAGCTACAATCCAGGAAACTACGACATACAACTAGATGATGGACGCTTGCCCTGCCGCGCGGCCAACGTGATCGCTCCTTCACTTGTTTTGCTGTTTATATCTCTGCCTACGGGTGCTCTTTCCAACTTCGATCCATTTGATACTTTCCCACCTTTCTCTTCCCGCCGGCATCCACAGGCAATTCCTCCCTTCACACACATAATGTCGTTCTCATCGCGAGACACGCTGCTCTACCGCAAAGATGCGCGGTCTGGCCACAAACTACTGACACCCGAGGAGCGGCTCGAGATTGTCAAGGTGAGTTCATTCTCGTTTCGTTCATCCAACGACGTCCCAGACACGGGCAAATGGTCGGCCAACTTCCGGTCTAGAAGACGAGTTCTAAAGACAAAGACGAATGACGAGGTGAAATTAGATGGCATCTTCGTGCCGTTTTCTTTACGCCGCCTTTCGTTTTGTCTTGTTGCTTGAATCGATGATTGGCCGCTTCTCTACTTGATGTCTGCCCTGCCAGCCGTCCTCGTCAGCCGGACCGTGAGCGATGCTGCCGGTCACTTCATCAAACACCTCCGTCAGCGACGACAATCGAGAACACAAGACTAACACAGCTCTGTCTTGCAGCCCTACCTCCCATCACCACCCAAATCAAATGCTGCACGAACCGAGACCGAAAAAGCAGGCAGCCACAGCGACTCCGGCCACGCCGGTCACTCCGGCCACTCCAGCGCCAACAAGTTCCACCTCCGTGACACGACTCGGGAACGCTTCAGCGTCCGCAGTTTCGTCGCCCACCAGCTCTATGTCCTCGTGTACACCATTGTCCATGCCATTTTCTCCGTTTACCGCCGCTTCCGGGTTGGCTACCATGGCGTCCGCGACCGTATCTACTCTGTCCTCAAATACCACCACCGTACGCCCGAGATCATTGCCCGCGATGTGCGGGACTTGCGGCGACTTCCCAAGCACCTGAGTGTTGTCTTGCAGCTCGAGGATAATGGCCACGGACTTGCCGAATTAGAGCGCCTCGTAAACGAGGTATCCGATATCGCAGCCTGGTGCGCCTCAGCCGGCATCCCCATGCTCTCCGTTTACGAGCGGACAGGTGAGATTTGATGGCCCGGAGAAACCTGGCGATGCAGCAGCGTAAAATAATAACATTTGTACAGGTATTCTCAAGAGCTACTTGGCCGACACGCACCGCGCCGTATCGCACCGTTTAACAACCTACTTTGGCCGTGTGCACCCCGCCGTGACGCTACAGGCGCCGCATCTTCCCTCTATCGAATCGACGGTGTCCCCGCACGCACGCGAGAACGGCGAGACTGACGACGGACACATTACCGTCATGCTGCTGTCGGAGGAGGATGGCCGCGACTCGCTTGTGGACCTGACCAGGACGCTTTCTGAGATGGCCCAGCGATCCAAGATCTCTCCGTCCGACATCAGTATCGACCTGATTGATGCCGAGCTGACCGAGAGCGTCATGGCTGAGCCCGATCTCCTGCTTCTCTTTGGCCCCCACATTGAGCTCTCAGGTTACCCGCCCTGGCAAATCCGCCTGACCGAGATCTTCCACCTGCCAGACAACCAGAGCGTAGGCTACCAGGTGTTCCTGTCGGGCCTTTACCGCTACGCTGGCGCTGAGTTCCGTGTTGGGCGGTGAGCAACACAACCGTTTTGAGGCCGTTCTTAAACCGACTTGCCGCAAGCCATGACAATCAAATCGTGCAAGTGCTCCACCAACTTTTTACCAGCTTTGATCGCCCGCGTTGGTCTATTTTTATTGCGACCTTAATATTGCGACCATATTTTCTTATTTATATTTCCCTCCCATGGCATTGCAAACTACTTCAGCGACCCAAGAGCGTGTGTTTTCATGTGTTATCGACGTGAGAATTAAAGAGAGTCGAGACGGGATCAACGGGCGACTGGGCTTCACGTAAATTGTTAGTGCGCCACACTTATTTAGAAATTTTCATGACGTAACGCCACACTTTTCACCTCTCATCTTCTAAGTTTCAAAATTTCAGCTTGCCAGCAACAGCGCATGTAATTCTTTGTGTTTATATTTGGCAGCGACGTAATTTCGTTGTTTTGTCGCCTTATTTTTGTTTTGTTTTTGATTTATTTTTTACTGCTTTCTCCCCGTGCTGTGTCGTCCAAGAGCAGCTTTTCTGGAGACGCTCATTCCACTTTAATTTCTCCGTCCGCAGGTGATCACTCCTCCACATGATAGCCGGCCAGAAGCGTCCGCGGCCGAGCAGCAGCGACGACGCTGACGTGGGCAACAACTCCAGCTCTGGGTCAGAGATGAGCATCTTTCGACCTCCTGTCCTGCGGACAGCGGCGCTGACGGCGTCCGCAACCCTGAACAAGGCGCTGTTCACACGCACATTTGATATTGCGGCAGCACAAGTGCACGACAACCGCCTCATCTCCAAGTACCAGAAGGCGCTGAACTCGAGCAAAGAGCTGCTACGCGTCGAGCGCGTAGCGTCTGTGGCTGATGTCCCGGAGGCACCGGCAGAACGAGCCACCGACGCCGCCGCTCCGGCCAAGCCAGTCCCCAAGCGGAAGTGCTTGCTGCTGCGACCGGGCATCGTGGCGTCGTCCCCCGACACGTGGAGCGACGTGCTCAAGCAGGGTGTTGAGAAGAGCGAGCTTGGCTTGATTCCTTATCAACTGACCCTACACTACGAACACTGGACGTCACGCGAGGTGCTCGTGTCGGTGCTGCCTGAAGAGTTTCACGACGACATCCCGACGGGATTCAACACCGCCGGTCATGTGGCGCACCTCAACCTGCGAGACCGCTTTAAGCCTTACAAGCACATTGTGGCAGAGGTTCTGCTCGACAAGAACCCGCAGCTGCGCACGGTTATCAACAAGATCGACCTTGTCGGCACAGAGTCTGTCTTCCGCACGTTCCCCTACGAGGTGCTGGCCGGGCCCGACGACATGGATGTGGAGGTGCGCGAGAACGCATGCACGTTCCGCTTCGACTACAGCAAGGTGTACTGGAACAGCAAGCTGGAGCCGGAGCACACGCGGCTGCTGTACCTGTTCAAGCCCGGTGAGGTCGTGGTGGACCTGATGGCAGGCATCGGGCCGTTTGCGGTGCCCGCAGGTAAGCGTGGTGTCTTTGTCTGGGCCAACGATATGAACCCCGACAGCTACGAGGCGCTCGGAAATGCCATCCAGCGCAACAAGGTGGGGTCGTACGTGCGGCCGTTCAACGAAGACGGCCTGGTGTTCATCCACCGGTCGGCAGACCTGGTGCGTGAGTCGTCCGAGGCAAACGAGGGTGCCCTTGACGTCCCCGACACGGTGGCCCCGAGGAAGCAAGGCAGTAAGCCGGCACCAGCACAGGCGCCGACATCAGCGCAGGCCGCAAGGGAAGATGCTGCGGCTGCTGCAGGCGGTCCCAGGGCGAGGAAACAGCCGCCGCCGCCCCGAAAGCACGTTCCTGTCCCTCCGACCATCTCACACTTCATCATGAACCTTCCAGCCTCGGCCATTACGTTCTTGCCTCGTTTCCGGGGACTGTATGCTGGCCACGAGGACCTCTTTTCCCCGGCCGCGGGTGGCGAGGCGCCAGCCGGCAAAGTCTATCCCAAACTACCCATTGTGCACACGCACTGCTTTGCACCCAAGGACGATGACCAGAGCATTCCCTTTGGCGACGTGTGTGCCCGCGTGTCGGCAGAGCTCGGTGTGCCAATGACGCTCTGCTCGCAGTACGAGGACATGGAGAACGATGACCCGCTGGCGGGCGACCCAAGGAACCTGGTCTATGTGCACAATGTGCGGGCCGTGGCACCTCATAAGTCCATGTTTTGTGCCAGCTTCCGGCTTCCGGCATCCGTGGCGTTCGCGCCGAGGACAGAGACGGCGGCAGAAGCAGAATAGACGGTGCGGAGGAGGCCGGACGATGCGATGGGCGCTGTCATGCTAAGGATTTGTCATATGGCGTTCATTTTCTTGATCTCCATCGGAAGTACGGAGCACGACAGAAGCAATGGATCTTTCAGCCGACAGCCTGATACTCCGCCGTAAGTTGGACTTTGTGATACATGCCATTGGCTCATTGAGTGGCTCATTGAGCTTCCTCTGGCACGCCAAATCACGTAGTTTGCACGGGCTTTTTGCTAACTGTCGTCGACATATTGTCGATGCCACAACAGCTCGGACAGCTACAGGTTCGGTGAAATAGCCGCTTGTTTGACAAAACGATCAAAGCTCTACACCCCAGAGCTCCATGCCAATTAGTGCTGCGAGGCCTTCTCCTCTCATTCACACTCATTCACACACGTTCCCTGCAGGATTTTAATTGTGACGGGGTCGCAGTGTGACAACCCGATCTGCAGGCGAGTTTACATGGCGGAGTGCGGAGTTCGACAGGAACTTGTGGTAGGCCGTTACTTGTGAGACAGGTTTGCAACGTCGAAAATTTATAGTTCTCGCGAATATATCAGAAACGTTTTTATCGACACAGGCATACAATGTATTTACACAACATTAATCCAACACAAACCCACCGAGCTTTGAACGATGAAATAAAAAGACAATAATTCAATGAAATATCAGTCATCATATATCCCGAAGCGACAAGGACTAGATGCACCTTAAACACAACTGAACATGTCTGCCACCATGCACTTGCATTGTCTGAGAGTCAGGTCAATTAAAATAATCAGCCCAGCTTGAATGGCTGGCTAACCCAAACCAGTAACAAAGAAATCTCATATTTAGCAGTGACTTTTCGGACGTGGTGAAATCCAATGATAAGTGTCCAGTGTAGCTATGTCGATCAAGGGATGGGTCAAAGCCGGATTCTGGAAAAGTACGTCGTTGTACGTTTCTGCATAGTGTTTACAGACTTGTTTATATGGATTACGAAAGGGTCAAGTACCAGCACAGCACGGGCGAAAGAGCAAAGGGAACAAACAAAGTAAGGACCACGAATAGCGACCAGAAAAAGAACGGCAGATCCGCACATGCTCTTGTTCGCTAGGACAGGATACGTATCTATCAAAGAGAAAGTATCGAAAGGGAAAGAAGGGGGCAGAAGCAAGATAGTGCTCCATTGTAGATGTTAGGGCGAGCTGTTGGTAGCCGGAGCTCTGATAGCTCGAGTGACGGCCGACCAACGGTCACAGATGTTGCTATTTTAGACGCGCCGGAGTGTTGGTTTCCCTTTTTCGTGACGGAATCTATCGGCTGTACATCGGTTCAACCGTTTCTTGTGCTGCACGTGTGTTCGCTGCGGATGGGTTTCGGGTGCACATGCAACCAATTTCATATGCATATCCGTTTTCCGCATCACAAGCTGCCGTTGTGAAAAACATCTGATATTCGCCATAAATAAAAAAAAGAAAGAAAAAAGGAAAAGCAAAAAAAAGGAAACGACAAAGCAATGCCAGCGCATACCGCACCCTCACGTCTCGGTCAAACGGGACGACTCTTCGACTGACATGCACATTGTCAATAAGACTTATATGGTTGCCCTCCACGAGGTTGTCGGCTTCGCAGACGAGCAGCTGACAGAGAGCCGAAATTGTGCTTGATGCTTTGTTACCTCTCAGCAGATTCGGCGACGGGCTTGTCGAAGATACTTGTCGCCCAAGGCAAGTCAACATGGGTGTCGTCACAACACGATGCTCTTGAGAGAGCAATGTTATGGGTTTTCCCATGCGTCGCCATGCATATGTAGGATGTACGTCGAATCAGTCGTTGTCCGATAAGAGTGATAGTGCGATTGTGTGAGATGATATCGTTATCGCTCCTCCCGGGGGTTATTATCCGCGACATGCACGAATCTCCGTCGCTTCACCGGGGAGTGGAAGACAGGGAACTGGTGGTTGCATCGTACGGAGTGTGCAAATTTGTATTCTGTATGGGGCGTGGATCTATTAGCTGCCGGGATGGAGGGGGCGGCCAAGAGCTCTGGCGAACGACACAGAGGCCGGTGAGCAATGGCAGGTACGGCAGAGAGGGCAAGAGCAAAGGGCAGACATAGCCGAGAACGAGAAGGAGTGAAGACGTAGGAAGGCGCCATGCGCTGCAACCATTGGGCGACAGAGAGGGAAGGCGCCGTGTGAGCGCGTGGGGGCATCGAGGGAACCCCAGGAAGGAGGAAGGGTGAGCGCATCCAGGCACACAAAGACAAACAAAAGCACACAAGACGCATGTTACAGCATGCAATCGCACACCACCGCGCATATGCACACAAGCAAAAAGACCGTCACAATACACTGCGAAAAAAGGCGAGCAATTGTCCGGGGTGAGAGAGGGGAAACACATGCAGGCGCTGTTAGTGCGGCAGCGGTATCTCAGGCATTTTCTGCAGACGCCTCCAGACTTCCAGAGTACCGCTCTAGAGAATATCAACCGGGAAAGAGCGAGGTATTCATGAGAAAAGGGAACAGACGCAAGGCATCAAAGGGAGATCAAGAGAAAGAGACAGGAGCAAGACGAAGATAAAACGGAGCCTCGTCCGCAGCCCTGTCTTGTCTAGGCCCTTGCTAGAACGGCTTCCAGCCTCCTGACCCCTGTTCGATTGCCTGTTTCGACCGAACATCCTGGCTCTGGATATGGACGGTGTCTCGATTTTCCATTTGTTTATTCTCCTCGTCGCGCTCTGCCCGTCCTAATCCTGCCAGGGGTGTCGCCGCAGCAAAATCCGCATTTAATCAAGGAAAGCGAAGCAGGGGCGGCGGCCACTGTTTATGATGTACGCGTCGTTGCCGGACCTGCCTCTTATAAACAGGGCGAGGATACGAATGTACAGCGTACAGGAGCAGCAAGGTATTCCTCTTACGTGTTCTACGACGTCTTCGGCCTCCCCTGCCTCGTTTACCCGTCTTGTCACGTCTATCACGGACGGCAGGACGGCCGATTTTGACGATAAAGACCTTTGGGATCGGAAATTTATTCTACACATGTATTTTCTCGCATTGAAGTCATAAACTACGGGCGTTGATAGCTTTTCTTTTTCTTTTTTTTTGCCTTATCTCTCGCATCATGTCATAATTACATTGTGAAGTCTCCGCAATCGTATCAAAACTCTCAAGGGGTTGTACATGAGACTGTCCTCCGTATTAAGCAGGCCAACAGCGAGTGTCCTCGACTCAATCCATCTCATAGAACAAGGTCTCTGACAAAAGTTGTGGGGGCCATGCCAGGCCATGTCCATCGAACGCTCCTACCTTTGCTGCCGGGCATCGCCGGCAGCGGAGATCAGCAATGGCCGCGATAGGCAATTGCAACCCCACCAGCCCACTTCCTGATATTGCGTCTGTGAGGTTGTAATATTATGTGCAGGCAAAGTCACTGGACTGACAAACTGCGGTATGATGAGCTCCTTAGGCGCACACACCGAGGAACATAACACTCTGAGGGATGTTTTGTTGCGCTTGCAAGCCGAGTGTCAAACCCCCACGAGTACCAAGGCTCATAGTCCTAAGAAACTGCCCCACCACAGCAGGTGACGCTCCTGCCTGTAGACGCCACGACCGGCGCTGCTCTCCTAGGTCATTTTCGGAAGGAGAGGAGGGCGAAGGTCAGAAAAAAGGCCAACCGACGAGGCAATTTGTTGACATCTAGAGATCATGCTGCTGTAAAAAGTCAAAGTAGAAAAGGACGAGGCATGACACGGGGAAATGAAGACAGCGAATAAAGATCAATACTCGACCAGGTGTAAAAAGAAAAACAAGGTAAGGGAGGGTTGGGTTTGAAGTCTATCCTGTGACCAGAACCGAGCAGTGCCAGCTGGCAAGGCCCCTCCTCATGCCGCTACACCCTCCCTCTCCTTCTCTTACGAGCTTAAAAGACGGTGAACAGCCAGCGTCAAGGAGGGTGGACGGTACGAATTGGAAGGAGGGTGGGAGCAGAGCGGGAAAGAGGGGAGGAGGGGCAGAATGAGAGGAGCTTGCAGTTGGCTTGGGACCGTTCGGGGCAGATGACGAGATATAAAAATGACAGTGGGGGTTACAACAACCGTGTGATGGGCCATCGTACTGCTCAGTAATTAAGGGCAGGGAAGTGAAGGAAGACTGAATATGAGACGTGCGAGCACGTTGCAAGTGCATCGGTTTCCGTCTTTTATTAAATGACCAGCTGCAACTGGCCCTGTTCATTATGTGCCGCAATTGTTTCGATAGCCGTATCGACAGGCAATCTACAAAGTAATTTGGGCCGGCCGGAGCTGTCCACATGGCCAGCCGTTCACACGCTGAAGGGTGCGCCAGGGTGGCAGTTCCTTATTTTCCAACCAACAATCGTTGGGCTAGAAATACTCCATCTCTGCTCGGAAAGCACCGTCCGCAAAACAGTTAGGTGACGACGTTGCTGGAGCAAATGGATGTCAACACTACGCGGCACAGACTCGACAAGCTCGATGTCAAACGAAGAAGGGGTGGGAAGCAAAATCGCGTCTTCTGACCTGTCACTTTTTCCCTCACTGATGGACCTGCGCACTAAACCCGAGGGACCATGTCTGGACAATATATATCGTACGTCGTATGTATGTCGTGTGGGTATGATGTACGCCGTACGGTGTAATACTTTGAAGATGGGTCTTGCAGGTACATGTTTATGACCCCAGTTCTCACCGCAAGGTGGGTATTGTTTCGTATTCTGCAAGTGCGTATTCTCCAGCACGACAAAATAGGCTTTGGACAGGATCGACATTTTGATTGGGCCAGGTACTGGCTAGATAGCAAATGGAACCCTAGAGGAGCCTGGAAAATGGAAAGTGAATCACAAAACAGCTGGCAAGCGTACGACTGTGGGAGCTTGGTGTGTCTAGTCCAAAACAAAGCAAACTGTAAGACGATACGATTCGTAAGAACCTCCTATGGTGCCCGGACTCACAGGCTCTGCACATCACTTGACCACTGCTTGTGGCA